TGGAAGCCTTTTCTCGGCCTTTTATCCCACCCAAAGAGAAAGCCCATGAGCCAAGAAGAGTCCAATAAAAGAACAAAAAGCGTAGGGTGATATGACATCTCAAACCCAATCCATGTATCCCATTAATATGCAGCATAGCAAGAGCCCAAAGGACTAATGGAGCAATCTGAATACATCCAAGCTAAACCTAGCAAAGGGCCAATCTTTCTTCCTTCAAAGTCTTTGTCGGAAGTCTGAAAAATGAGGGGAATGGCTTCATTAGATAGTTGGGGTGAACTGTGAAGGTGTGTATCTTTCGCCCGAAAGCAACTTAATTGCTCCTAGAACAGGATGATCAAAGATTAATCAATGAAAAACAAGTATAATCGTTATCATCTCTAATATTCAACCGAAAATATATTACTAATAATTTTGTTTCGATACATGTAATCAAAATGTTATATATTATCTAACAAAACCCATCACCAATGGAGAAAGCATGTTAGAAAGAGGAGATGTTCTCTTTGTCATCCCATTGGATCAAAGTTGTCCAAAATAGTCCTCCAAGTATCTTTTAAAATGCTCCATTTTCTTCTCGAAGGATTGCTTAGAATACTCAGGTCCTCCAACTGGAAAAAAAACAAAAAATCTTGAAGCAATGAGCTAACTTGATTGAATCAATCGTCCGCTTCTTCCCTCTCTCTTCGGACAGCTCCGAAGTGTTCCACCAAAATGTCAGCAACTACAGGTACCAAGTTCTTACAAGGAACAGCCTTCTTATAAAGTTGTCCCAAATGCGAGTCACTACCAATTCTCCCTCCCAGGAACACATCTGCCCCTTCGCAAGGTTTCCCATTCTCATCCCTTGCCATGCACCCCATGAAACCAATATCAGCAACTTGAACCTGTCCGCAGGTATTAGGGCAGCCCGTCCAGTGCATCCTCACCGGCCGTGTCACTGACACTAACCTTTCCACCTCCTCAGTCACCTTCAAGGCTCTAGCCTTTGTCTCAATAATGGCTTGTCCACAGAATTGGTTTCCAGTGCAAGCCACTAAGCCTTTCATGAGAATACTTGGTTCCGGTGAAAACCTGTCTTTCAATAGAGGCTCGTTAAGCAAGGCTTCTAATTTCGAGTTCTCAACATTTGGAATTATGATGTTTTGCTCCACTGTAAGCCTGAGTTCGCCTGAGCCATATGCGTCGGCTAACCGAGCTAATTCATCCATGTCAGATGCTTGGACTCGACCAACAGGAATGTGAAGACCGACATAGCTAAAGCCTTCTTGTTTCTGAGGATGGACACCAAGATAGTCCCTCCTTTCCCATTGCTTTTGAACTAGATCTTCAGAAGATGCTCTTTCTAACTCTTTTTGAGGCATTCTCTTGGCTATCTCTGATCTGAATACTTCAAGGCCCTGCATTTTAACAAATTTTTTCAAATGATCAGGAAACAATTGAATACAAAAAAAGGGGGAAATAATGCAACCTCAAGGTTCCAACATAATAGTAATTGTGAAAGAAGTGTTGCTCACTAGTTCATCAATCAACCACATCATTCTCGTCCTTTGTCTGTTACCTCGACTGCCAAGATCCCTATAGGCTTCTAACACAGCTTTACACACCGGGATCACATCATCGGTCGAAACCCAAGCATCAAGAGGAATGGCCTCTTCGCATCGCTTGGGACTGAAGAACCCACCAACCAGTAAATTGAACCCAAAACGTCCATCTTTTGTGGCAGGCATGTAAGCAAGATCATTGATGTGGGGATGTTCATAAAGATCATGAGACCCCACAACACAGACATTCCACTTCCTTGGCCTGTTCAAACAAAACATAATGTCCAAAATCAGCCTCAATATCTCCCTCAGCAAATGACAGAAACATGGTTTCCAGAAATCAGGGCAGTGTTAAGAAACTTACAAGTTAGTGATTGTTGGATTGCCACGAGAATTGGCGGTAATGAATTGGGATAGCAAGTTGGTGTAAGGACGGGTATCGACAATCTCTTCTGGATCAATGCCAGCAAGAGGATTGCCAACAGGGTTTCTGACATTGTCCATGCCACTCTGCAGACTAGTCAAGCCTATTTCTTCAAGACCCTTGAGAATTCCTGGCACATCAGACAGCACCACTCCCCGAATTTGCCAGTTTTGCCTGGTTGTCACGTCAGCGCACCCATCCTTCCCATATTTCCTTATTACACTAGCTAGATATCGTGTTTGAGCACTTGTTGTTACACCATTTGGTAGCTTCAGTCTCATCATGAATCTACCATCTGCCACCAAAAATATGAGGAAACTTTAAGAAGATTAAATTTAGTTTATTGTGCTCATTATAATCATTTAATTCCCTAATTCCCCGTTTAACATTTACTTGAAATCTCATAATACGTCAAGGAAGAAGAGGAATTTTGTAAGATTGGTAAGCAAATCAATGAATACTCTTTTTAGAGTTGAAAAGACCGAGAGATGGACAAAACAGAGAAATAGGTATCTTTTTCTTAAAAATAAAAAATCAACTCAAAGAGAACAATAGAGGATCTTTTTGAAAATTCCATTTCCATGGTTTCTTATAACAATTAATAATCAGCTTTTCCTCCCCTGAAAGGTCCAAGGAATCTAATTCATTGTTACTTTTATGAAACTCGGGAAAAAGGATAATCAGAAAGAGAAACATATCTAATCTTATAAGGAACCAATCTCATTCAACCTCAAAAAGGAACGCCTAAAAGATTCAGATTAAAAACCAAAAACCAAATCAAGCAATAGAGAGAGAGAGAGCTTAAGTAGTAAAACTAACACTGATGCTTCCTCCTATGGAACAAACCAAGCCACTTAAGCCTGACATCAACGTCATCCTTTGTAGTCTTATCCTTATCAATCTCCTCCATCGACATCTTAGCAAGTTCTTCAATCCCTCCTTCCATGAAAAGCTTCAGGGGTTCTTTCCCGATCTTCACTTTCTCTTGAGGGTTGATACCTTCTCTAAACTTCTCTTTCAATACAAAATACCCATCTCTCTCTTCCACTCTTGGCTCCAACCTGCCTGCATCCACTTCCACCGATGCCGGTGCCGTCGTCGGAGCGGCAAGAACCCATGTTTTAGGCCTGGAAGCGGAAGTAGACTGCAATGCTTGTGGTGCAAGGAAACGAACTGAAAAAGAAGACATTTGGGATAGTTATTCGAAAAGTTGAAACTGAGATACAACGTGTTTGAAACAGCAAGAATTCTGGCGGAGGAAGACAAGAGTTTGGACATTTTTGTAATGGCAAGATGGGGACCTTAGGAGAATAGCAGAGGTTATTCTTTTCTTGGTGGGGAAATAGAGGGGACTTTTGGATGGTGTCAAGGGTCAGTTTGTTTAGTACCATGGGCGCTGGTTTGTCTTCTACTTTTATTACTAAATATTACCTTCAACGGCCAACCTATTACCTCACCCCACCTTCGACTTTCTAAATTTTGCTAATATGAGAATTCACGACATGTGGCATGTGATTACCAGGCTTTGTTCTTCCCATCTCCACTGGTCGTGTCGTAGTGCATGTATCCGGATGAGTTTTGGAGTTGAATATTGGGTTAATAAATCTTTAACAAGTTTTGATTGGCTTTTGCTCCTTATTTGAAGTGTGGACACCGCACGGTTTACGCCAATGGTTTTTTTTTTTTTTGACACTTATAATTACATAAAATCAAAACATAACACATGATTAGTTGATATGAAACATTTTATTGATTTTTTTAATACTAAAAAAGCATTTTTAATATTTTTATCACGTAATTTGATTTGCTTTGACCTTAGAATCAAGATGTAGACTAATTAGTGTCATTGAAATAATAAAATTACCATACCTGAATTTTATAAATGCAAAAGTAAACAATGATCTCACCATAATCGACAAGGCATGGCAAAACCCTTAAATTTTTCCTAACCCACAGATTCATGAACATAGAAATGGGGAAAAAAGGTCGCAATTTGTATTGGCAAATTGAGTGAGGGGTGACCCACTGAGTGGGAAGGGGCGGAGGGAAAGAGTAAGAATGAGCGTCTGAGAGGAGAAGAAACCTGAACCAGTTGTTAGTTCATAACCTTTAAATTGAGCCAAAGGGCACACTTTCTTGACTCGCCGCCAGAAGTTAAAGATCAACCTTTGTGTTTTGGTCTCAATAGAAAATAAACATGTGGCCTTAAGTCAAACAATCCTACTTCCCTGGTTTTGACGAATCCGACCGCACCTCATGTTTTGCCTTTGGACCTCTCCTCTCCCTTGCTTGCCATGATTTGTATTTTTTGTTGCTTTTCTACTTTTGGCCCAGATTTCTTTGTCACTCATTCAACATTTTACATTTGTCTTTCTATGGTTCTGCATTCCTTGTTGTTTGTCGGTATCTTGGCCTCGTTTGCTCTAGGTTCATTTGGAATTAAGGTGGTGAAAGCTTCAAGGCTTTTCTTTTTTGAATAAACTATGTGGTATTATAAGAGCTAAGGCAACAGCGGAGATCCAGGGTCCAGAAAACTGTATATTACAGTACTATTTATACAGGGTTGGAAGCATGTAAGCACCCAGAAAGATAACTAGGATCATTCTTCGAAGATGCCACTCGTCACTCCAATATAAAATTCTATTAGGTTTACCCATATCTTCCATCCCGGGCAGGTTCATCCGGATTGTTTTCATCATTTCATGGCACACTTCCCCATACAACATGAGATAAGGATAAAAAGAAGAGAGATAAGGATACAAAGAAGACCCAATAAAATTTGTCTGATTACAGGCCTAGTGAGGCCTTGCCTTGCCTTGCCCTGCCCCAACCCTACAGAAGCTTCAGATAGTCACTTACTGTGTACACGACTTGTATTCAACTAAACATCTTGTGAATGCATATTCTGAAGTTAAGGAAAGATGCAAACGACAAAGCCAGATTTGTTCCATCAGTAAGTATTCAAACTAGGTATTATTACTGCAAGAGATTGTGCAGGAACAAGTACCATATACACAATGACCCTGTAACACACCTGAAGCAAAAATACTTTATCCAATAACATAAGCATGCTTGGAAGAATTGTGAAGCTTAACTCAAAAGGGTCAGATATCAGATGCATTCTGTCGTGAGCTAACACTAATTGAGCCATTAGTAACTTTTAATCACGTTCTTCCCTATAAACCTAGCAGCTCATTGATGTAAAACAAAACATGGGATTCTTACAAGAAACATTTGATGAAAGCAATAACCCACATGAGGTTGCCTTGACCTCCCAGGAAATAATTTCAGCAAATAGTGCTGCAATTGGGAATCCATTCCGTGCTAAAAGTTGAGATAATGGAACCTTCAATCTAGACAAATATGACTTCAAACTTAGCACAAGGGTTGTTTTCAATATAACTCCTAAGATCAGTATCCCCTTTGAACTTGAAGGTATATAAAGCCTGTCTCTGAGTCAACCCAACAGGATATATTCTGTGTACTTTTAGTTCATCCCCTCCTCTTATGCTTTCTGGTCTTTCATCCTTCCAAACAGGCACGTGTTTCAGATACTTGAACCTCATAAGCACTGCAGCCTCCAAGGCTTCTAGAGTCAAATTGCCAGACCTGCTCATCAATGTGAAAAAATAAGGATTTTCTCGAGTTTCAAAATAGAAGAAATATTTAAAATTTGCTTCCACTAAGTGGAGATAAAATTACCACCTGTAGCCAGATTGGCAAATTAGCTTATGCTTAACTGCTTAGGATGAATGAGTCTTGACAAGACAGAAGAAATCAAAGATAAAATAGCCATACAACACTAGATGATTGTTATGTAAGGTCAAATGAAACACTAGATAATTTCAACAACTACTCCATTGGTTGTTCTGTTTAAAGAAAGTCTAATCAAGTCTGGATAAAATTAATCAATACCATTGTTCTGCAAAAATGTACGGATAGTTAAAAAGTACAGGGCCTACCTCAAGAAAATAGAATCCATCTCAAACCTCCCTCGCTCTCTTACATATAAATGATACACGGTTTCTGATCCTCTGGTACACTTGCAGGGGCGTTTCTTGACGTCAGAGCTCTTTTCTTCTTTCTCCCGGATGTCTGTTGCCAAGTGAATGCAGAGACGGCATGATGAATGAACCGCAGCCATATCCACAAGGGCCTTGAATGAATCAGATGGGCCTTCATACTTCCACCTAATCCATGGATATCTCATTGTCAACAAGACACCTCACGAAGAAACCAAAATATAACTCCAACCATCATAGAAACCTTGAAAGAAGGGGAGAGGGGTGGGTGTAACTATTCTATGAAAAAACAAATTTCTGGTAAATTGGTATATTCATTCCAACGGTTGAGCCACACCTTAATGATTGATTGTATGCATCAGGGTTTTCTGCAAGGTACTTCATTCTTTTTGCAACTAACTGAACATCCTCCAATTCCTTAATATGTAAAATTGAACCAGGAGAAGGAGCAAAATCTTCAATATTTGGCGCACCAACCACAACAGGTACAGTTCCTACAAAATTCAACGGTTCTGTTAATCAATCAAATGATGAAACTGAAATCAAATGGCACCAAAACATTCAAATTCAAAATAAAAACACATACGAATGTCTTTCCAGCCCAGATGATAATTTTTCTGGATCCTGTTTCTCAACAATTGGCCAGAAATTAGTTATACCACTTGTTTCCCATTTTTTGGCAAAACTTTCTGCATTTATTCTAAAACCAGAATTAATTCCCTATGGAGACATTTAAGTACAATTTGTCACCAAGTCGAGTGGCAGAGACTCAAGTAGGATGGAGTTTTGAAACATCAATCAAAAGGAGCCACGATTGAAAATAAATATATTTGCTGTCTATCTCCTTTGTCATAACATAATGTTACAGGGGCCAGAGAAGTCATGTTCATACCTGCAACAAGTGACTGGAAAAATTTTTCAGTGACATAATCCTCCTCATTGGAGTTTTCAAAAGCCAAGCTAAACTTATAGCGTTTCAGAGCTTCCACTTTGTCCACTGCAAAATTTACATTGAATATATCATAAACTACTCTCCACAATGTACAAGCACATGCAAGGGGTGGCAGGCAATTAAATAGTAGCTGAAGTTTGTGTCCTAATCCACTCTTTAAACTTCTCCTCATTTGAGCAAAACAATCTTCCCCAACCAGTCATTTGCTAAAATGACCTATGACTTTTGCATAGCAATTGAATAAAAAAAAGGGGCCTGGCATTGGTATCCAGACCAACTCATATGTATAGATATATATATATACAGCATGTGTACTATCTTTGAACATATCCATACAAAATTAAAAAAAAAAATAGATGAAGAAGTCAAAAACAAATTCATGAAGAGTAACCGCAATAATTGAGGAGAAATGCTACGTTGGATGCAGTTGTGTCATTAAATAGAGAGATATCATTGGAAAAACTTTTAAAGATCTCTCACTATCTTTTGAGAAACCATGATCATTATAAGAGCAGTGCATTGTAGAGTTTCAGGTTGAGTTGCCCAGGTAAGAAATATAAAGGGAAACCTCAGGCACAGAGAACCGGTGAGCTCAGAAAGGCAGGGTAAGTTTTAAACTAGAAGAAAAGATAAACAGGATCGCTTATAGATTTCCTATAGGAAATACCACAAATTAAAAAATATAAAATTTAATAATTTTGAAAATCACATCAAACTCCAATAGTTTAACATCAGAATGCACATCAGTATATAATTAGTTTAAATATTAAAAAGCATCAAACAAGCTCACCTCTTCCATCACGATTTCTATGGCAACCACCATAAGAATCTATCTTGATATTAGCATTTTCAAGCCCAACAAGAGCTTCCAAACGAAAGTTGCGGGCACCACAGTTAGAAATGAAAGCAGCTGCAAGAGCAGTCTCAGTCTTTGGCATCACTGGTGCCATGATGTCATACTCAGCCCATGAAAAATAACCAACAGGAACATCTGATGAGAGGCTAGTTGTCATTACAATATTATAACCCCTCCTAATTCAAATGGAAAAAAAATGAAACTGTTAGTTTTAAAAAGAATTCCCCCATAACTAAAATCCACTTTGGACCCTAGCTTAGTAGGACAGTATCCAATGAAATAATTGGCACATGTCCAACAGTTTGAGGGAAATAGTCAAGTCCATTTACACCCAACATTCCACAAGAGAAGCCAGCTTAATTACCAAAGGAAACTAGTAGAATTACTGAATGAACTTTTTGCAGAAATCTTACAAACTGTTATTCTTTACATAAATATGTTAGAAGTATGTGTTAAATATAGTCGAAAATATTGGGACACACGTCTAGCCATGTTCAAGAGCCTAGATTCTTGTAAACATGTCTATGTTGAAGCATCACACCAGTTATGGAGTCCATAGAGTCCCACAAAATTTAGTGCAAAATTTGTCTGATTCAAATGCAACTAAGTCATTATAGATTGTGCTTACCCACCCTCGTGCCTGAGCAATATTATTCTCTGAATAATATGAAGCTGATTCCATTGAGCGCAGCACACTAGCTACTCCAAGTGGTTGAGGCAAACCAAAGGCAGCATCAATTTTCTTACTGGGATCATACCCAAACTTACAACTCACAGCACAAGTTTTCCATTCCTATATACCATGAAGAGGAACTCAGAGATACACAAGGATACACAATTAAACATACAACCCTTCTTTAGTAAACTCCCCAAAGCCAAGTAAGAAGTTCAAATTCTAAGCAACATCAATACAGGAAACATGCCAAATGACAGGAACCTTTAAACTGAACTAGCATCGCTATCATTTGAACTCTTAATGTAATAGATTAGCAACATCGAGGGAGAGGTCTAGGATGTATTTTCATATGTTGACTGATTTCCAAGATAGCTCCTCTGGCCTTAAGAAATATGAAGATATGATCTTCAGTCAGAAAGCAATAATACATAAACATTATCTTATTTATATTTCCTATATTGATTTTGTCAAATTGTGATAAAATGGGCAAATAAACACTTACACTAACTTCACAATTTCACAAACAAATCAATCTGAAAAATTCACAAACCTAATAGCCAAAGGTTCAAAATCCGAACAGAATATCAGAATAAAATTCTATGCGCTGTCTTATCTAACAAACTTGCAAAGACCAAAAAACAGGACCTTGATCGTACTATCATTTAAACCCCGCGCCCCCCCAACCACCCCCCCCCCCCCAAAAAAAAAAAGAAGAAATAGTGATGGAAACTGCTCAGCGCCAGGAAAACCAGATGGGATCCTTGCCAAAATCTTTGAATAAACCACGGCATCTTCTCTCTCGAGCCACTCCTCACAGCTCTCTGTAACGGGAGTTCTGGTCACCGCCCAAAGCTTCAATCCCAAATTTTCAACGCTAGAACCTCTACTTCACCAGAAGGAGGAGATTTATAGAACATCTCAGGCCATGAATCGAAAAAGGCTGCGTTTTTTGCCATGTCAAGACGACAAAGAAACGCAATTTCAGCTATGACCACAAGGGCCACAACTAAAGGCATCAAGTTTGACCATTTTTTCTTGTTGGAAACAGATGCAGAAGGTGGCGACCCATCAGTTAAGGCCAACCCTTGTTGGGTTCTTGATCCTCTTAGATTTGAAAGAATACCCATCAATCAAAAAGAGAGTCTGTGTCTCTTTCTCTCTCGGTCTAATTTTCTGTTTTTCAGGGGAGAAAAAAAAAAGAAAGAAACCAAGAGAGAAAGAAAAAAAATTGAAATAAACTAAAAAAAAAGAGAGAGATAAAGAGATTGGGTGCGTTTTTAAGGAATCATGTTTATCAGTTTATAGATTTTCTTTATTCTCTTAAAAGAAAAAGTTACTCGAGAGTTGCTCAAGAAAAAACAGGGAATGTCGAGTTATCTTGGGAGATAATGGTAGGGCGGAGGTTTTCCTCTTTCAAAATCGAAAGGTCTACGGGGTTGGGTAAGCGCGTAGGGCGAAGCTTCCCTGGTTTGAAATCGAATATATTCTGAGTTTTGGCCATTCGGGTTTGGTCCCTTCGACGCAAGGCTAGCAGTAGTGTTAGGTGAGGGGCAAGGGAAGACTCTTAAAACTTGTTTTCTTTCGTTTTCTTTCTTATTTTCTTTCTTTGAATATACAGATTTTTTTTTTGTTAATTTAAAAACCTATGAGAGTCCATTCACGTTACACTTTGGTGAAATGTCTGGTCAAACAATATCTTACTCCTCTCTCTCTACGTATATGGCTAATTTTGTTTGGCATTGCTAGGAATATTGTTCTAGTTCATTTCGCCTTGCATGTCTACATCACGCTGATAATCCAAAAGCTCTAGCCAATATTGTACAAATTATAAGTTTATTTTCTCAAATGTTCTATTTAATTTTAAATAGATTATGAATGGTAAGTAAATTAGATAAAGATAAAAGCTAGAGGTTAATCTTTTGGCTTATTTTTTTAGAAAAGTGATCAATTTATACTCTTATCAATTGTGGTAAATAAAATCCCATTGCATTGTATAATAATAAATATTATTATTTTATATTTAACTATTAATGATATTATAATTCTATTGTAAAAATCTATTAAGATTTATGAAAATAGTGATCATTTTCGTGAATTAATTTCCATTTTAGTCAATATATATGAGAGAATTTCTTTTCAAAAGTCCATGTATTTTGTACTGTTTGAAATCACATTCGCATGTAAACAATACCCCAAAAAAAAAAAATCACTTTGATTTGCTAGGAGAAGCCAATGGGAACAGTTACAGATAGTGCCACATCCAGTTCCTGGATGATACTGTCGCCCCATGTTAGAGAAACCATGTTTAGGTGAAGATGGACCAGACATATACAGCAAGTACTTCAGTATGGTATGGTTAGGCAAAAGATGGACCAGACATGAAAATAGTTTAGTAGGGAGACATTAGTGCTGGGGGAAATTGGCCAAGGTTGTATGCTTGTACTATCTGTATTAATAGCATTATCCATTAGATCGAAATCAAAGGTGTCCAAAATAGTATGAGTTCTACAATAGCAGCAGCAGGCAGTGTTTGCAAAAGGCTTTGCATTGTTTTAAGATAGGAATTCGACCAATAATTGTTCTTTCTCGCTCGTGGCTTTCAAGCTAAGCAGCCTACTGCACGTTTGGTGGATACTTAAAATGTTCCTAAGCCCTTAACCCTAAATCAAGGAAAGAATATTATTTATGTTATTCAAAGACAACTATTGCTTAATTGGATTAAAACACTGATCGCAATGTAATATTAATATTACTGTTATTGGTGCTCTAATTTAATCATTGGCATAGCTTAACAACCAAAGTAGCTTCTTGTTTTGCCCCTTCCTTTTTGGTTGCTTTTTGAAGTATGCTTTTAAGTTAGTCTAACCGTTATCCATCCTGTAAAAGCAAGGGAATCAACTTCAATAATAACACACTACAAAGGATAAATGAAGAAGTCGCCAGAGTCAGGAAAGGATATTCATATAGGGAAGTCTCTATAGCTAGGGGAATTTACCAAACAAATATGCAATTATGTCAATAATAGACGTGCATATAGAGCAAACCAACATGGGAATTTCAATCGCTTAGGCAATGTTAAGACTATATTTGTTTACATTTACAATATGTCATCAAGATTCTGAAATTTATGCTATTAATTAACACTACATCAAAATAATACGAAAACTGTGAAACAAAACCAAAATTGACAGTTAATAGAACTATGATACATCTGGAGAAAATACAGGTTAGAGTTAGACACCCAAGACTACATCGCTGGCAACTCCACAACACCCCTGCCATCAGCCGGAGTGTTAATTGCATTCCCCAGCTTTTATATCTATTCATTGTGCCAGTCTAAAGTATAAACCGATCTCCAATACTTCAGATACCACCACAGAAGTTAGTTAGCATGCAAATTATGTATAAGCAAATCTCGGTGCAGGTCCAAAAACATAAGAGGGAAAAAAGAACAAAAGAATTCTTCCTTAATCTAGTGTCAAATCTTCTGACTGCACACTCACCATGTTGTGCCCACCCAGTATAATCATTCACAAGACATATCACCCCAAATCAACTCTTCGTACAGCATTCTTCTTCAAACAGGCACCAGGCAGAAAATTGCTGAATTTGTCCCATTTCTTTAGCCATACATGTAGCAGTGATTTCGGTTCCAGTTGCAATTTAACTCTCCATTAGAAAGTAACATGTGTCAGACTTTGGGGAGGGGAAGCTTTGAGGGTGCTCTGACAGCAATTTCTTTTTCCCTCTTCTTGTAGAAGTATCACTGATGATGGAGTTGTCTACCAAATGTAATCTTCCAAGTGGCACAACCTGAACAAGAGTTTCATGA